GGCGAGTTCGACGACCTGGTGTCGGCGCTGCGCTCGGGGGAGGTGTTCGACAAGGACCTCTCCAAGATGAAGCGGAACCGGAAGCGCATCAACAGCCAAGCGACGGAGACGAGCCGCGAGCGGCCCATCACCAAGCTGAACTTCTGAGCGGCACGCGCGCAGAGCCGCCTCCGCCGCCCCCTCGCCGGCGCGCGGGGGGCAGCCCTGGCTCCAGCCGCTCATCCCGGTGGCCGGCTCCTTCTGTAGCCGACTCTCTGTGTCTGTCTCCCTCGGCTCAAACCTGAAAAACTCAAGAGAAAAAAAAAGCCAATTTTCTGGTGCCGAAGCACAATAGTGTCTGTCTGGAAACAGATTGCGAAAGAAACATTCCCTTCAGTGAAGAATGCGGACAGTAAGCAAAAACCAAACTAGGACTCGAAATGAAATGAGTCACTGGTTTTCAAGTACCATCGGCCTGTAGCTGCCAAAATATTTTTTTCCTTTAGACTGTGGACATGACGGTGAAACTGTGGCGCTGGTGCACCATGGATGAAGGTTATTAGAATTAGTCTTGAAAGCAGAACTTCAGATCCAGTATCCTCTTCGAAGTGTGTGAAGAGGTCCACATTAATGGAGCTTTTGCTGAACTAATGCCGTTCTTAACCACAGGGGACACTGGGAGTATCCCTATATGTTTTTTTTTTTTGTTCCAGGAACTTTTACCTTCCTTTGTACACGCAGAAAAGGAAGATAAAATCTGGACAAGCTTTGCCCTTTTAATGTCTGCAGTGTTGGTCATGATGGAGAGAATGAAAAAGCATGTTTATTTCAGCTGCATTCCCCAGGATTGTCATGCTTTCGTAGAAAACACTCCATGCCGTCTTGACTGGCAGGCTGTATTTCCATAGTTGAAAAGTAGGATTCCCATTCCGCATTCTGCATTAGACATGTAATGGATATATGCTGGATTTTTAAGATATGACTTGAGAAAGAAAAAAATCTATTCCTGGCAATAAAATGTAATTAGAATGAAGCATTTATTTTATTCCCCCCCGCCCCAAAAAAAAAAAGAAAGAGCAAAGTTAAAAAACATTACATCGTTTTAAAAAAAAGAATTTCCTTGGGAAATGAGCAGTCTTTTACTGGGAGCTGGCTGATTATTTGATTGCCATATAACCCTAGAGAGGAGTTTGAGCAAGTTGTGAAATATTTTGCGTTTTGGAGCACTTCCACTGATGGATCTGAATCGACTCCTTTGATAGGTTTTCTAAATTTCAGGACAGCTGCATTAAAATACACTGTGGATGAAAACTTCTATGCACCAAAAAAAGGTATTCTTTTCTAGTTGGCTAACAAAATTTACATTAAAAAAGCCTTTGATGCGAAATGTAAAATAGGCAATATCTCATTTTTCAGCATCGTCAGTCAGTGAGTGCTCCCTTGAATAAAGAAAATGTTTTTATTAGCCTCCTTTTCATGTGTGATAAGATTTCCTTTATATGTGGGTTCCTTCTATATGATTTTTTATTTAAAACTGCCTTTTAATGTAAGATAGATCTTAACTGAATAAAGACTGTTGGAGGTGTTGATTGTCTTTTTGTTAAGTTGTTAAGATACATGATCAACATTTATCTTGTCTGTATTTTAACCTTGCTTCAGAGCATTTTAGACACCTGCATGTGTGTTTTATTCCATGCTGAAAAAAAGAAGAAAGAGAACACAACGTTTCGGCCGTGGAGCCTTCTTCAGGTGTTCTTCTTCACACCTGAAGAAGGCTCCACGGCCGAAACGTTGTGTTCTCTTTCTTCTTTTTTTCAGCATGGAATAAACCTATTAATTCTTCCTTTGCAGCCTACGCATGCTGACGCAGCTACCCACCTGAACTATTAAATATTTTAGTCCCAACCTACCTTAAACTTTTGGCCTGAATGCAAACGTTTTGGCAAATTGAAAGACTAGTTCCTATTTAATGAAGCAGAAAGTCCCTCACTGCTTTGTCTTATAGCTTTAGAATTTCAAGTGGTCTACAAATCAAAGAACACTTTTGTGCACCAGGACACCCTGGTTATGTACTGATAACGGAGAATGATTTGCATAGAGCGCCATCTGCTGTCTAAGTGTTGCCACTTCCCCCGAAAATTAAGTTGCTCATTGGTACTGCTATTCTGTTGAGGAGTTCTGTCAAGCCACTGCCTACCTTTGCAGATGATTAGGGAATTTAGCTGCCGATTGCAATGGCCCATTTACAGTCACAGTACGTGTTGAGGCTGCAAAGCCATTGGTCACAGAGGTGAGCTGCCTCTTTCACCCTGAAGACATGGGCTCCTTCCTGACACCAACTCAGTGCGTCAGATTCCAAATCTCAGTAATCAGTATTCATCGTCTTTTTAGAAAACCCAAATGTTGTAAATGCCTTGTAAGCCAATGAAGCACTTCTGTAGCTTGCACAGTCTCTGTGCGAACAGGAAAATGATAAAGTAATTTTTGGCATGTTGGGTGTCAGATTTAGTGTAGCATCATTGCATTTACAGAACAAATTAATGCAAAAAAGGGAAAATTAGTCAATTTTCATGACATTGAATGATCTGATGGTATTGTATGACATTGTCTGAGAAATGCTTTCTGTTCTTAATTCTTAAGTACTGCTTGATTCTGAACAGAATTTCAGAGAAATCCCAAGACGGCTAGATACTGCTACATTCTGTGCCAAACTTGGACATGCCTTCTAATGAAGAGCAATGAACAATTCTTTTACTTTAGAATCACCTGTGGTTTCAATGTAGGGGTGGATTTTAATTTCTCTTAGTATTAAAACTGCATTTTCAGTAAGGTTTTTGCATTCATTGGTTCACAGGACATTGCACAAGAGGTAGAACAAATTTCACTGAAATTTAATGATTAACGATCCTGCTATCATAACTTGCAATACAACTTGAAATGATCATGTTTGCTTGAGTGTTTAATCTCTTAATTACCACGTAGCAATTTTTAAAAAATGCCACATTATCACAGTGGGTTTCTAGGGGGAATTCTTTTTTAATATATTAACCTCGGTGTATTTGAAAGGAAATGAACTTTCAGAGACCAATGTATTTGCACAAAAGTGTTTCACCTGTTGGTAACAATTGGAAATGAGGCAGGGTTAGGGTTTAATCAATCTTATGCCAGTTTAATGTTTCAATTCACCTTTTCACTTTGCCCTTATTTGATGTTTTGCATGTCTTGCTGAAAACATCACCCTCTTGTATTGAACAAAACAAAAGAGTTGTGCAGTGTCATGTTCGATGCATAAAAGACTTTAATTTATTTCAGGTTTTAGTTGCAAAATACTGTAGTTTTACATATCAGTACACAATAACAATAACAAACTGGAAATCTGACATTTACATACTGAAAAAACAAGCAGTGGAGTGGTAATCTTCGATTGCAGCAAAACAGGTAGGGAAATTGATCTTTTCTTGTTTTAAAAGGTGTTTTAAGGCTTTTGGCCAATAAACCTCTAGCAACTAATAATAATTTACTAGAACAAATTTATTATGTGGGAATGGTGTATAACGTGACATTGTGCTTTTGTTCAGTAACGTGTAGTGGCATAACAATAAGAACAAATAAAATACTGCATTTTGTGGGAAATATGCACTGTAGCAATGACATCAAGAACCATACAAATTCAGGAAGTAACTTCCTTATGTACAAATCACAACATGAAGTGTAAGCAAATTAAATCTTGTCACAATGTACCATTGTCTAGCTGGAGGCTAAACGTGGGCTTTTGCGCTACAGATTGTGACAATTATCAACTAAAACAAGAACCAGTTTGATTGGCACCCCAGACTCTTGGCAGCCATGCCCCGGACACTGACACAAAGGAACAATAAGAAATATGCGCAATATATGCCTATCCATGCTATGTGGATTTATATTCACAAACACCCATTTAAAAACTGACAGAATAAATCTATGAGAGGCGAAAGAGAATCTCAGAACGAAACTGTTGCGGCCAACCAGGAGTGTGGGATGAAGCCCAGTCATCAGCCAGCACCGTGTACTACTTTAGTCGATAAGGGGAAGACCTTGGTCTCGGCAGCGGTCTCTCGCATTAGATCAGGTCGACGAGCAAATCCGTTCCCTTCGGGATACTTACAGGGTTACAGCATGTTTACTTTCTACCAAGGTAAACCGACTGTTGATCGCTTGGCATTCACAGTACCTGGACTTCGGTACGCCAGAGCTGTCCGAGGTGCTCACAACTTGCTCACAACTTCTTGGTAAAACAGAAATAAAGATCTCGGTTGATTTCAACATAATGTCTTATCTATACAGTACATCACAACAGTAAAGGAATACTGTAACGGGCTCTTCACAGAGGCAAGGTTAGGATCGTTCAGGCGTAAACTGTTGCACACATAATAATGTGTGCTTCGCGCGTAACAAGGGATGCACCACATGTGGCATAGCCCGGATCATTTTCAATTATAATGTGAAATAATAACGGTTTGCCTAACACAGGGTTTTGAAAACCAAAAACCTGCGAGAATGTCATTGAAATGATTAACGATGTAAATGGAAAAGTTGGGGGGTGACATGATTAATACAATAGTACAGTAACGATAAAGAACCCTTTTCCGGACAGGTCTCTTTTCATTATTCACAGTGTAAGCTACTGCATATTGGCACTTTAAAAGGCAATGAAGTTTAAACCGCTGACCACCTTCAGCGTTAATGGCTGCGCAGTTAATTAAGAACATTATTTTGGAATGCGTTTTTTTTTGGCACAGTTTCCAAATATTTACAATTTACTAAAGCCCTTCCAGTGAATTGGGTACCACGCTAGGGCTCAATAATAATAATAATAATAATAATAATAATAATAATAATTTGTTTAGAAATGCACCCACAGACCGCAATGCCAAATTGGCTGCAGCCAGGATTTATGGCAAAGGTTATTCAAAGGCTCGTATCTGCAGTTTCAGATTTGGGCGCTGCAGGTTCGGACACAGTGTCCGGATGCCCGTCCCGGCAGAACAGTACCGCCGGGTTTTTGCACGCCCACACGGCCAGCTCGCCGCCGGTTCCTGGGCTGGAGGAAGACAACCTGCTGCCAGCTCCGTGCCTGTTCACATACCGGTCCCTGATCCTGTCGGCGCGGCTCCGGGCTTCCCTGCCCTGGCCCTGCGTGGACAGGTAGGCGGCGATATTTCTAGTCCTGTACCCTTCCTCCCTGTTGCGCCCCAGGAGCATCGATATGTTGGGGTTCCTTATCGCGTAGATCAGAGGGTTGATGGCTCCGTTCGCCCAAGCCATCCATATGGCTACAGTATCCATCACTGGATTGAAGGAGTAGTCCCCAACGGCGGTGATGATGCCCATGACACAGTAAGGCCCCCAGCAGAAGATGATGAACACAATCATGATCAGGACGGTCGTGGCTGTCCGCATCTCGCTGTAAAAGCGCAGCAGGTGCGCGTATGTGGTCACCGGCCGCACCCTGATTTCCGACAGCCTCACGGTCTTGCAGATGTTGTAGTGGCAGAAGCACATGAGGGCGAAGGGCAGGAGGTAACAGACCAGGATTAAAGCTATGCTGTACGCTGTGCCCATTCTGGAGGTGCCAGAATGGAAGACGTACATGCAGTGGTAAAACCCCCTCTTGTGAACCACCATGTCCCCGGCTGTCCGTGCGACCAAGTACCACGGGAAGGCAAAAAACACCGCCGTCAGCCAGACGGCCACCAGCAGCTGGATGGCCTTCTTCCGCCCTATTTTTTCTTGAGGTTGCCTCACTATGGCGTAATACCGGTCGAAGGAAATGAGGGTCATCGTGAGGGTGGAAATGATGCCGAAGCAGGTGTTGAAGAAGCCGTTAGCTATACAGAAGCAGTCCCCAAATATCCACATGCCATCCCTGCTGAAGAGCATGATGAAGGAAAATGGTAAACAGAGGATAGCAGTGAGGAAGTCGGACAGCGAAAGGGACATGATGAACGCATTAGTTACAGTCCTCAGCTGCCTGTGCTTGATGATGACAATGACGACGGCTGCGTTTCCTAAGCTTGAGAGCAGAAAAATCACAAGGAGGACGAGGGCTTGGGCGGCCACGGCGATGCCATGAAGGAGAGAGTTTGTCTCGATGCCTTTTCCGGGGGAATAGCGTCGGTCCTGGTCGCCTCCGGCCCCCGTCTGGTTTCCAGTGTCGAGCTGGGTGACCAGGGAGCTCAGGGCGGGGGTCAGGGTGAAGATTTCTAGCGCAGGATTTGTCCTCGACGTGTTTTCGGCAGCTGAGGTGTTGCTGGTGCCGAGCAAAGCAATGTTCGCGGACAAATCCATCGGACTCGACTGGGGGGCATCCACGAAATGGAAGAGGATTCATCACTTTGGAATATTTTAGATCAGCGTTTAATGAAACACAGCAAAGCAAACGGCGTATATCCTTTACAGAGACCTTTCTCGTGTCGTAGACCTCAAAGTGTAAAAGACAGTACTTAGCTCATTGCAGGATCCCCCGACAGTCGGAATAAGATGCATTTTTTCCCATGGTTGTTCATGACAATCGCAGGGGCTGATCTTTGCTCTGAATGTTTTTAATTGCCACCTCAGTCACTCCCAGACCCCCTTTCTCCTTCGCTAGTCTCCGCCTGCGTACACATGTTGGAGGCTCTGATCGACTCCGTGACGTTTAGTGCCGTTACCAAGGCAGCGGTGATGGGCTTCTGCTCCGGGTATTACGCACTTTGCAATAAAGAAGGGTCGATTTTAGGCAGGTTACGTTAGTCTTTTCACGCAAATGTGCTGGGTGGGAGGGAGTTCAGCGACTATAATGAGACGAAAAACGACAATTTAACAACTGGGTAGAGGAGAAGCCGCAGACAAATTATCCTTCTGGTCAGCTATGGGTTGTATACCCCTTTTGTATTTTATTTCCGCTTAGCAAGCAGTGTTTCTGTGAACAAGAAACGAGACATCAGATAAAGACAGTTGGCCAGCTAATTAGATTTAACAACGTAGTCAGGAAAATGGGGTTGCTTGATAAATGCCATGTAAAGAAAAATTACATCATGCATCAAAGAAAAGCGTTCCTTTTGCTTAGGTGATCTGAGCACACCGTGTGTTCCTCCTAAAAAAAAAAGTCATGCATTGAAAATCAGATTTGAAAAGGCTGAATTATCTGAATAGACCATTTTGGTTCACGTGTCATGGTACATTTTATTAGAAACATCCTTCCTGTCATCTCATTAAAAGAAATCTATAACTGAACAAAAGAATGACATTACTGGGTGAAGTGCCCACCAGGTTTGATCGACTTTAAACACAGGACAGTCATTAGTCTTGTTGTTAAAGGTCATTCTATCATGACTGTAAACATCTTTCTTACAAATGTATTATACTATAATCATAGAAAATTAAGATTTACCTAAATTAGAATTAAAAATAGAACAAGACCTTGCAGTGCTTCAACCAACAAGGGTTTAGTCAGAATCATATTCCAATTAATACAAAACAATAACTTTGATAACACTGTTAAAATGACTGGGTTTGAGTGCACACTATATCAATCATTAATCTTTGTCTTAGGTACTACAAGATCATTTTGGAGACAAGCAGTATAAATGTTCACTCAAAGCAAGTATTCTAAATACCTTATAAATGATTTATAGAAATACTGTTTCATATTTACTTCTATAATGAATAACCTCCATGATCACAAACATTATTCCACCGATATTGTAGATTTGATACGTTTAGCCAAATAACGATGTGGTCATTAAGGGGCCCATGGCACTGTTTGCAAGACTAGCAGTGTCAGCCTGGTGTCCTGGCTAAATTCGAGTAAGGGCTTTTCCTTTTCTGAAGTTTCCCTTTAATTCAGATGGTAAAGTCATTTCGGACTCCTCCACCAGACTTGCTGAAATGGGGTAACTGGTGCAGAATGGCTGCCACACTTTAGTCTGGCTGGGGCTGGATTCCAATGGTAGAGTCCGTGGGTTCCCTCCTGTTTATTAAGCACACTTTGGGATGCAAAGTTCTAAACAAGTGCAAGAAATTGATATCGTTTAAGTTCCTACAAATAATTGCAAATGAATACATTCCAAGACTTCAGAATTACAGAAATGCAGCACATTTTTCATTTCTTTTAGAAACACACTCGAAGCCTGACCTGAACAGCATGCAGAAACAAGATTAACAGGCCCTCTGTGCACTTTGATTCTGTCAGACACTTATAATGCAGTGGTCTCCACACCTCAAGTACAATGCCAAATATAAGTCAAGGGGGATTGTTCGCTCATGTTTTCAAACATTATTGCATTAGCCATTTTTTGGTGTACTACACTTTTAAGGGAAAATTTTACATACAGTATAAGGTACTGTGCATAATATAATGTTATTTCAAAAGAAAGCCATCTTTCAAACTGTCGTCATTTTCAAGTACAAAGCTTGCAATCCCAGTGTAATGTGCATGTCCTGCAACTTCCACCACAACGGCCTTGAAGTCGCCACATTTCGTTTCCTAACGGGACAAAAAAGAATAAAGTATCAGACATTATTTTTCATACATCCCTGGATGACTATGAAGCCTTATGGCCTGAAATTCAATTCTAAGTATCTACCGCACAGTGATATCATGACAGCTGTACATTTAAAGCCTTGTAAACATTTGGAAAAAACAAAGTTCATTTCATCGCCTATGTTTAAAGAGGGAAGGTCCCGTTGTTACCTCCACTGCTCTGCCAGTGAACAGGGAACCAGTGGCACCACTTTGGAATGTCCTGGTCTCGTTCAGCTGAATAAGTCCTTTGTAATACTGCAGGGCAATACGAGCTGTCACTCCTGAACCTGTAGGGCTCCGGTCCACCTATAAAACAACAATGCAATGCAAAATATTATACAGCACTACCAAAAATATGAAAAAGAATACAGCTTAGTTTTTTCTATGATATGTTGACTTAATCTTCTGCTTTGCAAACACCATAGGAAACGCTAGATAAGAGACTAACAGTGGGTGAAAGACCGTTCACAGCCCTCATTACAATTTGGGCTGGGTTAATAAGAATTACAATGAACTCCTTGGTTCCCCTTGCTTACGGTTATCACCCTCTCTCTCACTCTGATTTGCTGTACAGTGTGAAATCTGTGTATTTTAAAGAAATCCAATTTATATCGTACCTGCGCATCCGCAAACACACACACATTAGCCGTAGGTTCTTGTGAAAAGGTGTCCTTGCCATCAGTGAGGATTGTACCATAGAGAAAAGCCAAGTCAGGACTTGTAGGATGATGAAGTTCGACCTACAGATGGAGCCAAGGAACAGACATGCTAATTTTAGCTTGACAATGCAGTTTTTCAGACTAGTTATGTCATGCTGTTTTGTTGATAATGCAGTTTTTCAGACTAGCTATGTCATGCCGTTTTGTTCAGTCTTGTGTGTGATGTTGTCCTTCTTTTTGTGTTTATACAGCGGTCAAGCCCATTTGGGCCAAGTGTTCTGGTACCTGAGATTTAACAGCATTCGATACTGCAGTCGCTATGTCCACGAGATCCCTGGTTCTGGAGGTCTTGACATCCACCCCAAACGTCTCCGCACTGACAATTGCATAAAATGCTCCCCCATATCCTATATCCACAAGGACTTCCCCATATCCAGGCACAGAAACAGCAACATCTAACACATTGGGGGAAAAAAAGTGTTTAGTACTTTGAAAACAACAGTGATACTTTAAGACTTTCAACAGAATTCTGTAAATACCACTCCATTGGCATTTTCTGCCTATATATTCATTTATTTATGTATTAATCTGCACTAAAAAAGTAAAGACTGGGCCCTCTTTTTACAGTGATCCAAACACTACTTTTAATTTACTTTGCCTGTTGTGTGCGTGTGTGTAGGGCCCAGCTTATTTGCTGGTAAATGTCTTTGCACTTTGTCAGGGGTTTTGGCAAGCTACAGTTAGACGTTAGCATCAAACTTGACGCATTCCAAAGTGTGCTGTGAATTCTGATGCATCAGACTTTCAAAGCACAAATTTCCCTTCAAAAATTCAAGTACACGTGATGTCAGTTTTTTTTTCTTTTCCCCACCAAGTGTAGGGCACAACTACCTTGAACAACATCCTACCTATTGCAAAAGCAAATGCCGGCACGCTGTGGAATCTGACTTTCCCTGCTCGCCCATTGCAATACTCCACAAAAGCTTTCACCAGGCCGCAGGGGCAGTGAATGTTCACCTGAGTCTCTGGCGACTGTGGCGCTTCTATGAGGCCATAGTCCACCGCAAACCTGCCCAGCGCAATAACGGCATGGCCGCACATGGTGCTGTATCCCTCATTGTGCATGAAGAGCACGCCCAGGTGAGCGTCGCTCAGCTCACTTTGCACGACCAGTGCGCCATACATGTCGTAGTGGCCCCTGGGCTCAAACATCAACACCCGTCTCAAATGGTCCAGGTTCTCTCTCACGTAGCGCCTCTTCGCCAAGACACTTTCTCCCTTGACCTCCGGATAACCGCTCACAATCACCCGTAAGGGCTCCCCGCCAGTGTGCATGTCGACCACCGACAGAATCGGCCCGTCGTGTGGGGGGATCTTCACTCCATCCATGTCTGCAAACTTTCACGGTAGCGGTGCAATGCCACGTCAGCACCCTATTACAACGACGGTTCTTGACACCGTAGTAGAAGTGGTCTACTTTCTGAAGTCCAGTTGGATTTTCTTTTTAAAGTACACCTCCCTCAGCTGTTCCGACGTCTGGTTGAATTCCTCAGTTCTTATGACTGGAAACAAAAAGGCGCGTTAAGCATTAGTCGTCGTCGTTTCACCCCCCACACTGAATAAGCTTCAGGTAACGCTAGCTAAATTCGCCGTTTCTTGTTCAAGTCCAAAACTAAAGAAAAAAACGGCAAAGCGGAGCAAACAGAATATATTTGTGATGAGAATTGTCCCCTTTCAGCCCCCGTACGGAAAGAGCCCCGTTTGTCACCCAGCTGCGCAAAATCCGTATTCTTCAATCCTTACGCCACTTGCTCTTCGCTGAATAAGCCCGAAGGTGCGCGTTCCTGTCGCAGTAGGTTTCGTCACTTCCGGTTTTTAGCGCTGAAGGCTGTGTTGTGGAAAAGGTGGAGCAGTGTGATGTTTTGGTCTCGTTAGGTCAGGGCATTTTTTAGATCATTATTATGGGTAAGCGCTTCTGTCGGATTTTATTTTTTTTCTTTCATTAGCTGCAGATGTCACGGTCGCTGTCACTAAGCCTCTGTGTTTTATTAGAATTTTATGCCGAGCCTGATTGTGCTGTGCTGGAAGCAAGAATTGATCTGCATTTTCTGTGCGCTTGTAGTGCCTTTTACTTTGATTAGGTGAAGTGTCAGTGATTTAAAAAAAAATAGCTGCCTAACATCTCACTTCTATTTTTGATCCTCACCATTGATTTCTTGTTCTATTTTATAATACGCAGATATTTTAAGTGCTCGCAGTAACCTTATAAACGTCAAATGACGGTAATCGAACTTCATTTATTATTTCAAGTGATTGTGAGTGACTAAGCAACTACTATTTACTTTTTACTATTTAAGATGAGTCGTCATCTTAAGTGCAGATGTACATATGCGGTTAGTTTGGATAAATGAAAAGTATCGTTGCTTGGTAGTCGTTAAGAAACTCGTTTCGTTTGCTTCGCTTCCAGCCGTGGAGATGAGTTCCACCTGCCCGGGGTTATACTGTGGGAAAAGCTCTCTCAACGGCTCTCTAGGGGAATGTGGGGTGAGTAAAAACAATTTCCAGCGCATCATTAAAGAACATTTGTGAATCTTTAAATGCACATGTTAAAGAGTTAACAGTATGGACGAATACATTCAAGTACACGTGATGTCACTTTGTCTTCTAGTAACTCAACCCGATTAAGATGTTTTTCTTTGTACTACTCAAAGGTTTGTCCGCGGGGCGAACGGACCAACGAGCAGAGTATTTGCCAGAGGTGTGTGGAGTCTCCGGAGCTGTATGACTGGCTGTATCTCGGCTTCATGGCTATGCTCCCTCTGGTGCTTCACTGGTTCTTCATCGAGTGGTATTCTGGGAAGAAAAGGTGAGGCTGACTGAGCCCCCGGGCACTCTTCTCCTCCGGGGCCTGTCAGAGTCGATCCAGTGGACGTCTTCAGAATGAGCAGCGAATTACAAACCAGAGCACACCAGTGGAAATGCTATAGAAGTGCTTTTAAGAACAAGACCAGGAGGCACTTCTATACCTAAAAGGTGATACAATGGGTAATAGATTACCCTACGGGGTGTACAGTACCTGGGTGAGATCCTTGGCTTCATGAGCTGTGGACTATCCGCTAAGAAGCTCCTCTCGTTTGTAACCTTTCTCACATCAGCTTCACTCTTGTAGCAAATGTACACATTGGTTTGGAACTTTAATTGGCTCAATGAAAAACTACAAGTTTTTTTTTCTTTGAATTAAAGAGCAGAAGGAAAGTTACAAATGACAGCAGGCCATCTGACTCTCCTTACTAGTAGTTCAAGTAGGGAGCTGCGTCAGCATGTGTAGGCTGCACAGGGACAGGTAAAGGTTTATTCCCTGCTGGAAAGAGAAGAGACACAATGTTTTGGCTCTGGAGCCTTCTTCAGGTGTCATTTCTTGATTGATCTCAGGACAACTCTTTGGCAATGTGACTTGAAGGTTGTCACACCTCCTCCATCTCTTGTAAAAGGTGCCTTTTTTCAGCCTTTCCCAATACCCATTGTTGCTTTTGTGTCACTGTTGATTGTGAAGATGTCAATTGAGTCAGTGTGCCTTTCGGTGTTTTGAATACTTGCATTTACACCTTTTAAAAGGAATATTAAAACAATTATTTTTGGATATCTTGTTTCCTAACTACAAAACTAAAAAATCATGCAAACATACAACATGGCCTCATAATATGCATGACCTGAATTGTATAATTGACTTGTGCTTTATTGTGTTGTAGCTCCAGTGCCCTTTTTCAACACATCACTGCATTGTTTGAATGCAGTGCTGCTGCAGTCGTCACACTCATAGTAAATGATCCAGTTGGACAGCTTTCTATCAGGTCCTGCAAGGTTAAAATGCTTTCCGACTGGTACACAATGCTCTACAACCCAAGTCCTGATTATGTCAATACACTTCATTGTACCCAGGAAGCGGTTTTTCCTTTGTAAGTACACAGTTTTTTGGGGGGATAAATTCACATTTTACAGCATGCTGTGATTGTTTCTAAAACATTAAAACACAATAGGTGTATTGCCTTTCCATATTTATTAATGTGGTTATTCCGTGAATTGTAGATGTTATGTACAGATGTTACTTTTTTATTTAGATGTTCTGTATGTGACTACATCACAAATGGTATTTCAATCATTTCATTTAAAGCATAAACCTGTGCTTTATATCACTGTATGTGAAACCTGTCACTTGTTCTATTTATTGCAGGTATACAATAGTGTTCATATACTATGCTTTCTGCTTGATGTTCATGATGCTGCTAAGACCTCTTCTGGTTAAGAAGATAGCCTGTGGTTTAGGAAAATCAGACCGCTTTAAAAGCATTTATGCTGCATTATACTTCTTCCCAATTCTGACAGTACTACAGGCTGTAGGTGGAGGCCTTCTTTGTAAGTATTTTTTATTTGTATTCAATCATATATAATTACATATTTATTTAATATGCATTGTACAATATATTTCATACATTTCTGTAATGCAATATGATATATATGACAGCATAATTATAACAAATGTAATTATGGGTAAAACAAATAATGCATTGTTTTTGCCTTCGATATTTTTAGATTACGCATTTCCATACATTATCTTGGTTTTGTCCTTGGTTACCCTGGCAGTTTATATGTCAGCCTCGGAAATTCAGGTAAGGACGCCTTGTTATAAGAATATTTCTTCCCCAAATCAAATTAATGCTAATTTAAATTATTTTATTTAATCTATTCTATTTTTTTAATGTTTTTTTGACTCACACTTGATTTTAAGTAGCCAATTTTAAGTTTTTTTTTCTCTTGATGCAAAAATGGTTGTAGAAAAATTAAATGTTACAGCACGTAAATAATAATTTATGGACAGGGAGGATTTATAACTGTTTATTTCTGAATATGTCTGCTGTAAGAAGTTAAACCAGATTTGCCTACCAGCATTTAGTTCTCAATTCCCATAACCAAATTAAGAGTGATTTTTTTTCTTCTTCAGTGTGGCCTTAATTTTTCAATGTTTCTTTCTGTTTCTGACACATGCAGTCTTTCAAGAATCTAATTGCCAAGAAGAAGAGACTTGTTGTTCTTTTCAGTCACTGGTTGCTCCACGCATATGGAATCATCTCTATATCGAGGCTAGACAAACTGGAACAAGATCTCCCTCTCTTAGCTTTAGTGCCTGGACCTGCTCTCTTTTATATTCTAACTGCTAAGTATACAGAACCCAATAGGATCTTGTCTGAAGGAGGGAATGGACATTAATCAACATGAACAAATCATAAATGTGCTACTCCAAACCAGGATTTCTTTGTTTACCTTTCTCCCTAATGCAAGTAATGCATACATTTTGGAGACTTCTGTTCTTTTCAAGTCATGTATATATTTGTATAATGCAAATCTGCTTATAATGTAAAAAATCATGCAGAATATTGTATGTTCAGATTCTATGATATGTACAGTATATGAATGCATGTTTAGGGAAGTAAATTTGCAGTTATCTACCTTAGGCTGTATTATACTTAATTGCGGTCCATGTAAATATCTTTGGGAAGCCATGGACTCCTATCTGAACGGTCTTATATCGAGTTGATAGTCCTAGTGCGATCAAAGTCAGTGATGTAGTTATATTGTTTTGCATTCTGTTTTTATGTGTGTGGTGCAATAAAGTAATACGTGAAGAAGACTAGTGTCAAGCAGTGGTTATAGATGTAGGCTCATATCTAGAATGTTGTCAGTTTAAATACTGGTTTGAACTGCTGTTGTACTATTGAAGAAGTCTTCATTATAACTTCAGTAAATGGCCCAGCTGTATCTACAAAGTAAACACATTTGCCAAAACATGTAGATAAAGTGGTTGGTAGGATATATCAGGAGAACATTTTTTGAAAACATTTACAAAATCCTTGATTATCATCAAGAATGGCATGTATTTTGAACTACTGTGAATGTCTTTGACTGTCCGACTCAAAAGTCCTGGCTTGACTGAATACCTTTGCAATCAGTGAATCTGAATTTTTACATTTTATTTTTTGGAGTTTGCCAACATTCAGTATTCACATACTGTATAACAGTATTTATTTTGGCCATTACAGTTTTTGAATAAGAGAAGCTTATTTAAAATAGATATGCATGTCTGTCCCTCCGTTTCTAACAGCTTTTTCAATACAGGCTCTCAGGAGTACTGGAGCCTAATCTGGCAAGCAAAGGGAATAAGGCACAGTACACCCTACAGAAGCCAATTAACCTACCAGCATGCCTTTGGACTGTGGGAGGAAACTGGAGCAAAATGTGCATTTAATATTTGTAATTTATCCATGTCTGACTATTTGTGGGGCAGGCAAACTGGTGCAAGTACCATATACGGGTACAAATGGAACTGATTTTAAAAGAGCCATGGAAATATTTTGTCTTTACAGATTTGGAGAATAAGAGTTATTTTAATTAACACAGAAATGTATCAGAATCTCTGGTATTAGTGATTAGACCTAATAAACCAGAGTGCTTCTAATGGGTTTATAAGGAACTGATGTATTTTACATACAGTAAAGTAATGTTCTCACATTATAACATCATCCTGTACCCTTATCAGATTATCATGTTGTTGCAAATTTCCACTCTTCAATAGTTATATAATGGAGTACTGATTTAATAATAGTTTATCACATTGCACAAATATTACTAGTAAAAGACTTAAATTCAAATAGAAACATCTTCACAATCATGTATTAATGAGAACAAGTTGTTTCCTTTACGTTCGCTTTGCATTCTTTAAAAGGGAGGTAATCCCATCAAGTTGGTCCTTAAGTTTTAAACCAATGCCTCCAATCTTTTGTTCTCTTTGTTGTATTTTCCTCACAAGCTCCTGCATGCCATCAAGGATGCCTTGGTCATGCTCTGAATACTCCTGGGGAAGAGAAAAATGGGAGAATGGTTTTAGGGAATATGGTTTAGAGCTTTAAAAGTTTTCATTTTTGTATGTAGAGAGATAATGCTTACCAAAGTTAAAGAGGTATCTTCAGCCCAAGCCTTCAGGAGACACTCTAGAAGAAAAGCACTGAATTAAAATCTACATGATGGGTGTCACAATCAGATATCTTCGTTTTCAAGTCTGGAACAGTCAAGCAATGCAACACATGCAATGTCAAACATCTCAAACACACAAAATGTTTAAAGCTAATTTAGCTCAATTTAAATATACATTTACTTACTGAATAAGTTATGTAATTCATCTTTTAACCACTGTGTTTCATTACGGTGTCTCTCTGCTTCTTTATTGACATTGTTTATGTCCTCCTTCAGTCCTGCAATGCACTGAGGAACATCAGGATCAGTCAAGGCAGGTTCAAAGGGTAAAGAGTGAAGTCACAGCAGCAATCACATAGGTAGAGAAGTTTGATAATTGCACAATTCCAGTTATTTTCATTTTTTTGAAATTTTACAAAACTGAATAAGAAAATAAAAGCAATGCATTACTCTCAACTATCTAAATGTCCTCTGCAAATGTTTTCCAAAGCTGTGTATGAAATGCTGGAAAATCTGTTCAGAGCAGCTGTGCTGGATATGTACACAAATACACATCATCTACAATCAATTAAACCAGTACAAAATGTTTAAGCTTACCAAATGTAACCTGCTGTTTTCCATGTTGACCCGTTCAAGCATTAACCCAGTCTCGTAAATTACTCTCTCAGTTTTGCAGATTTCTGTTGTCTGCGTTTTAAGATGCTGCATGTATGCAGCACGAAGAGTTTCAATTTCACATTCTAGTTCCTCCTGTAACATAGATATTTTATCATATTTTAACAAAAATTCTAAAATAGATTTGTAATACAAATACGTTTTGCTTGCATTACTTATACTTTGATATTAAATAACATTACAAAAGACAGTGATATTCGGAATTTCTTTACATTTGTTACCTTTGGTTCCAGAATTATTTTGATGTCCTCCCTGAGTTCAAGGATTGAGGATTCCAAAATGTTCTTTTTACTTTTTAGTTCTAAAAAATAAAAAATGTTCATAACCTGGTAAAAAATAAGCTTATGATTTAAAAAAAGACTTAATTCTTTCAATACCAGATGAATTATAATGAGAATAATATGCACCATATGGTATTCCCATATTTATTCTCTTTAGCTAACTATCAATCACATCGGCACCCCCATCCTACAGAAAAGTACCTCCAAAATATCATTCATAAAGGAATACAAATAAAAATGGGGTACTTCTTTTTCCTTTAATGTTCTTATCCCTAAAAAACTTAGCAGTTCATCTAAACATCTAAACACTACAGTATTAGTCCTAACATCTTTATTTTTTTTATAAATATAAAGTTTATGGAGTCTGGATACTGATTAAATATGATTAATAATTTAGATGAATTGATTAAGTGGCCACACATTACTAGCTGGTGACTTGAACAGAAAACCCAGTGCTGGTCATCCCCTGAACCACTGTTAATGACAAATGCCAATCAGAATAATAAATTCACTTAAGTCTGTTCAATAAAATCTCAGCAAATATTTTTTTATTTGTAGTTATAAGATACTGTATGATTTTCTATTAATATTCTTGAATACACACAAATGTATTTTTTACACCCAATTTATTATGCTGAAAAACAATTCCATTTCTAATCACCAATTAAGTGTCAAGCAGAAAACACCTTTGATTTTTAATGACTACAATGTTGAGCCCCCAACCCTTAGAGATTACAGGTTAGCAGCTCTCAATGCCAACAATCAGTGAACATATACAGGAAAATCCAATGGCTGCAATACCTGCAGTTTGTTTCTTTAACTCCTGGTAGTTAAGATGTTCTGTGTCAAACTCAGCTTCAGCTTTCTGTAGTGTAGAAATGCTCATCTTTAACTGCTCTCTTTTTTTCTGTTGGCTTTCCTCTAAAGACTCAGCTTCTCCCTTTAGGAAGGAAATAAAAGACACAATCCATATTGATGAAAAAAAAAGATCAAAGTAATGCTATATGTAACATTAAATAATCGGTGATCTTGCAAATATTTGAAAAAGGTCTATAAATTCTATACATCATAGAATATTATGAATTATATTATCCCTCAGTTAAATTGATATCAATATTCCAGCTAACATATTTAAAATATGTGACAAATGGTGAAATGGGTCCTGCAATTCCTGACCCCAGCATAGAATATTTCATTCTTACACTGATTTGAAGGACAGCTGTATTTAAAGACTTTTCCATATCTTTGTACGCCTCTTGGGCTTTGCTGAGAGTTTCACTTAGACATCGGATCTCTTCATCAACTGAGTCACATCCTTTTAGACTCTTTTTCTGATGAGAAACACAAAACGCTTTTACAGTACACAAATGTAAACAACCAGCTTTTTAGGTCCTTCAAAACCACGCAAAAAATCATAATTAAATGTTTGTTATACACATACAGACTACCTACAGTAATCTTATCTTCAGAGGCAATTAAGCTACCCTTAGAAAGAATTATGATATGATATACTGCAGAATATAAAGAGCTACCATTATTTCCAAAAATTCAAATGAAAAAATATTGTGTCAATACCACAATTTAATGAAATATCACATCAGTCTCGGTCTTAAAATAGTCAAAGTTGTTAATTCTGTTGGTCTGTTGGATATAGATGATAGGAAATGAAATGATAGGCATTCAAGGAAATCGTTGTAGTTATGGTTATGGGTAGAAAACAGGGTAAACTGGGATGATGTAATTAATGTAATTAATGGAGTACCACGAGAATCTGCATTAAGATAACGACACATAATTATTGTAGACACTTGTAATTAAATTGATTTACACAGAATTATATCCCTTCATCCATTTTCTATCCACTTTTTCCACTTCAGGGTCGTGGGGAGCTGGAGCCTATCTTGCCAAGCAGCGGGCGCAAGGCAGGGTTCACCCTGGATGGGCTGCCAGTCCCTCACAGGGCAGACACACACACAAACACAGACATGCACGCACTCACACCTAGGGACAATTTTCCCAGACACCAATTAACCTAACAGCACCTGGAGGAAATTTCTTTTTGAGAACAGGAGGTACTTTTTGACAAGAGAGTTTCTGCACGTCTGGAACAAGCTACCCAGCCATATTGTTGGAACTAATACCATGGCTTATTTCCAGAAATAGCTGGATGAGATGCTTGAATATATTTGCTAATAACAACGAAACAACCTACAAGGTTTGAATAGCCTTCTCTCATTTGTAACCCTTCCTATCTTTGTTATGATAGAGGTTATGAAAAAAACCCATGGGTATTCAAAGTAAAAGATGCAAGATGGAAATCAGAAACTGGTGAAAATAGCTAAGCTTTCAGTTAAGATAACTAAGAAAAGAAAAACAAAACTTACTTCATTTTTTAGTTCAGCATATTTCTTCTTGTTAAGATCAATTACCAAATTCATTTCTCTTACTTCATCTACGTATGCTTTATGTTTTTCTGCAAGTTTATTTCCTAGGTTATCTTTCTCAGCCTGCAAAAGTAACCTACAGCAAAAAGAAAATATGAGGGAAATTACTTTAACAGACCATTTCTGCTAAGTAGTGAAAAAAATCTGGACAGTCTATAAAAGGCAATCATTTCAATGGGAGGACCATTTCCTCAAATAAAACACATTTTCAAAGTTTTTATTAGTTACCTATTCCGTTTTTCTTTCTTAAGCTGTTCTTGCAGTTCTCCAGAGGTTCTGTGCCACCTTTCTGAGTTAATTCTATACAAATAGTTAGAAAAAAAAACACATTTTGAAAAGAGTTAAACATTGATATTATAAAAATAAAACCATTTCATGTATTGTGTCTTCTAAAACTAGGATATGTTAAATACAGGTTAACCCTACTTATATTAACCCTACTTATATTGTAAACTACAGGTAATATATAGGAATCTTACTCATTGCTCTCCTTGAGTTTCTTCATCTCATCTTCCATTTCCCTGATTTCTATTTTAAACTTTGCAATAGATTCGATTCGTTCTTCAAGTTTCCGTTTCGAATCTTCTAGCCTGAAAAAAAGAATCGGTATTAAATTTAGCAAGAATTTTATCTTCGATATATTAAGATTAGTTTACCAATCTATCACAATTTAATTAATTGATAGTCATTAAAGAAGTCCTAGTATTCTATATTTTAATTTGCATTCAGAAAGATGTGCTACTGAAATTCTTCAAAAAAATGTCTTCATTTATATATATATATGTATCAGGCAATTTATACCTGTCCAAATTAGAAACCAGCATTCTAAATGTATTAGCACATAGCAAATGGTACAGTAATGAGGCACATTGTGTGTTTCATGGTTATAAAAAAGTTATTAACTCATATGTTAATCATATTCATTAAAGATTTGAATTTTGTATTTGCGCAGTAGGACGGGATACAGAGGATATGGAGCTTACTGTTTTGAGACATTAAGATGTACTGCCATGCAAAAGTCCTCTCTTTTTCTTGCTGCCTGAAAGCTCTCAGTCAGACTTGTTAGTGCTTGTAAGTGCTTAGCATTCACCTCTCGAGAGTATTCCATTTCCTTATCAATCTGCAAACAGCAACATGCTTAATTAGGAGAATAAACTAAGACATCAGGAATGCCTTCTGTTATGCTCATTTGCCTTTTGTTGCAATTATGTTGTTTGATTAATTCCACCAATCCAACAAACATAAGGAATTATTCATGTTGTAGATCTTCCTTTCTTTAATGAATGCTTTAAAGGGGGGGAGTAAATATTGTTTTATAACTTTATAAAACTTTCACTGCTAAAGCAAATGCTCTTACAAAAAATGTTCACTTGCATACTCATGAGTAAACCCAAAATATTTATGTAAGCCTACTGCAACCTTCTGCATGTACACACATTTTTAACAAAGGTTTTACTTCATGTCTCTCATATAAATGATACAAAAGGATAGTATGCCTATAACTGTGATGAACTGCTTTGTTTCACAAGCAGACTTACAAATGTGTTTGTTTAAAAAACTACCCCTTTATCGAACAGGACATTTACTTTTTTCTCTATTTTGTTCCTGACTTTCATGTGTTCATAAGGTACTGTATGTTGTTAACCTCCTCCTGTTCCTCTGCTGTGTGAACTATAACACTTCTGAAGAGTACCAGTAACCTGATAGTTTTAAAGGTCATCTGTGCACAAATTGCCTTTGATGAAGCATTTTAAAAGATCAATTTGAGTAAACTAGAGAGTCCACTGCTTGGCAGGAAATCAATCTTCTTCATCTGGCATCTAAGGAATAAGGGTTGCCCTTTTTTAAATTTTATCCACACACTATGTGGGCAATCAGCATTTTTCCTAGCCTAAAAAACTTCATTTATTTTCTAAATTTGAGTTAATTTATCAGCATAAAATTGATACCATAAAGTTTTTTGTAGTATTTATCTGTAAAAATCCAATATTTACCATGCCGGTGTTACAGTAGGCCACAGCAAACGAGTACAGTGATATAAAGTTTAAAATGTTCATTTTCCATGGTGCTAAAACTTTCAAGCACAATTATAATAACAACAATCCAAAAATAAGACTAACAGCTTGTTATCAATTTTTAACAATAAGAATTTAATCCAATTATAGTAAAATAAAACTGGGATTATGGTAGATCATTTATTTCGCTTACTCAGTGACATCTATATATTTAACTAATTTTTGATTTATTGTCAGTAAATGTCTGCATATACAGTATTTAACATTCTCCAGTCTCCAGAAAATTACTTTTATGTGCGCGTTAATGATCAGATATGACAGGTAAATTTATACTGTTGATTAAACATTTGTCATTACCAGGATATACCAACAGTCGTACTAATGTGAAATTCATAGGGCAGTAGCATGTGTGACCAATGTTGGAAGCAGTACAAGATGTTTATATGTGACATTTGCTTTGAACTACAGTAGCTTGCAGATATAACTGTGTGGGATGCTTGCCTGTTCATTGGTCTCTGTGCCCTTAATGTCACACTTTGTCCCAGCTCATCCTACAAATGTTAAATGGAGCTCAAATGTAGTGCAAGTTATCACAATCTCATCTCGCAAGGAAGCTGTTGTTACATTAGCATCATGAGGATGAACATGAGTGAGTGTACACGCAGAAAGCAGCAGATGAGATCCCTGAATTTGATCGATTTCGTCCTGTGCAGTCAGGCCACCAACAATCAGACTGTGGAGTTCTGTACAGACTAAATACTCTTGTCCAGTCCATTACACTTAGACTCCACATCAGCTGGTCTGTTGTACACAACAATATTATCGTATTGTTCTGCAAATCTGTGCTACACTCACTGATTTCCATCACACTGGCTCTCCTGCTAGTAAATATTCCTGAGCTGTTGCTCTTACATACCAATGGCCCATGAAGGCATTATTCTCTTGATAACTGAGGCAATTTGCTTCCTGTTATTTTATCTTTCCAGATTTTCACCAGGATCAACATTCAACAGGTTACATCTCCTCATCATCTTTCTCACTAATGAAGTGATATAGGACATTTGCTACAAAGTTGTGCAAGTGTATCACAGTCAGGCACAAATAATCAATCAAAACGATACAAAGACATTTAATTGTATACTTTATGCTTCCAACAACAGAGACATACATGTCTTGATCGTGCTCAATATATGAAGAGGAAAAGACATTAATATACAATTTTTACACAATTAGTTCATTATTGTGTTTGAGTAGACAACTGCAATGTAATGTATGAGAAGTCTAAATGTTTCTAACCTTGAAAATGTCATCACGCAGGGACTGGGCTTCCTTTTGAAATCTTTCAGTCAGTTCAGTTAATTCTTTAGCAAGACAGACCCTGTTCATATTCATAAAAATAAAGAAAACATGGTTTGCATTTGTGTTTTGGGATCATATCTACGTAGTTCTGCATTTCAATACACAACACGAAACTTAAGAGTGATCTGTTGTACCACAAATGCCTCTGATCATAATATGGCTTTTATATTAAAACACAGTAATTCTGTATTCTAGCCTTTAGAGCTCTTATATCCAAAGACATTATCTCTATCAGTCTGAGAGTGCTAGTGATGCAGAAAATAAGAAACAAATGAAAGTCCTTACTTTTGGCTGACCAGTTCCTTAGCCCTGTTCAGTTCTTCATCATACTGTTTTTTGTGCTGCAGCGCTGAATCTTTCAGCCGGGAAATGCTTTTTTCTAACTTTTTAATACACTGTAGAACAAGTAAGCAAAAGAAAGTATTTAAGCACATCATAAATAAAGAACTTGCTACTGTACACAGCATTATAGTTTAATTAATGTTAAAAATGTCGACATTAACCACCACAATACTAATTAGGATAAAGTTCCAGTCTTGTCAGTATGCGATCTGCAAAGGAACAAGGTTACTTCCACACTGTGACATATAGAAAAAAAACAACATTTCATCTACTGTGCTTTCAGTCTTCTTTCTTGTTACTTTTCAGTCAGGAATTAACCTTTGTTCATTCTTTAAGATGCTAATGTAAACAGTAGTAAATTTAAGTGTAAACTAACTGTTCAAACAGGGAAACAGCACACAGGTCAATTTCCCTATATACATCACAGATGTTCAAGTTGTAAACAAACACAAATTAAGTTAATAGAATGATCTATTGTTGTATGAACTTACATTCTTATGTTCGGAGATCTTTTCCTCCATGTCTAGTAATTCTGATGTGACGACATCCACCTGTCTTCTTTTCTTTGCATTGTCTCCTTTCTGGCGCTGTATATTATTTTCTGTTTCTGCAAGCTAAAACAATACATTGTTGTCACATAGAGGCTTGCATCCCACTTCGTTTATCCATCCACCCAGCCAGTTTCTAATTGCTTTACCCAATGCAGGGTCGCAGGGAAGCCAAAGCCTATCCTGGCAAGCAACAGGCACCCCTGATAAGATGCCAGTCTCATCACACACACCAGGGCCAATTTTCCCTGAAGCCAATCCACCTACGCAGTAAGTTTTTGGACTGCAGAAGGAAACCAGAGCATCCAAAGACAAACCACGTGAACCCTAGAAGTACATACAAACTCCACACTGATAACACCCCAGATTTTGGCCTGTGCAATCAGATTTACACACTACTGATTCTAATTCTAACCCGAGAAATAAGACAAAGGAAATATCTTACTTCTTTTTGAAGGTTTTCTTTGTGTTCTGCAAACATCTTCCTCTCCTGTATCATATCTTCCTCCAGGTCTTCTATGGCATTTGCTAAGTTGGCAATATTTTCCTTTAAGTCTCGTATTTGATTGTAGGTCTCATTCAGAAGAATCTGTTTATGGGCTTTTTCTGACAGCTGGTGGTTGAGCTGATCAATAACATCCTCATGGCGACTCTGCACAAGCTCTCTCTCTGGACTTACACACATTCATTATTTGTTGATTTTTATTAAATACTCCAAGACAAAAAAAGTAAACCAGAACCACACCAACCATTTTTCCTGGCATAATTTATAAAAAGGCATACAACTCCCATCATTTCAAACAACACAAATATCCTAATTTAGGTACATTATGCAACTCAGTTCTCAATTTCTTTGAAGTATTAAAATACTAATATATAGCCTGCTTACACAGAAGAAGTAGATAAATACAATAATAGTCACTTACAATAATAATGCATTTTGTTCTTCGAGACGTTCTTGCTTCTTTTCCATAAAGTCCATATCCTTTATAATATTGTTCATATCAGTCTGTAACTGATTTAATTGAACTGCATTTGAATCTCTTGCAGCAGCAACAGAAGCTAAGATATAAAATAAATAATTTAAACTACATAACAAAAAAAGTCTCTAGGAGTGGAGGTTTCTTAGTACTGACAGCAGAAGAAAAAATGTGCTAGGAACATGTAAGTATTGTGAAATGTGAAATTAATTCTGCACCATTTACTGTATTTTTCATGAATTAGACTCAGTGTAGAAACAACAAGCTTCTTATGTATAGGAAAAATATCTTCAGAATAAGTGAAGCATAGTGCACTAGTTCACTGGACCATCCTACTGTATCTATGGTTTCCTTTTCTACTCAGAGCTCAAATTAAATCGATTATGTTGCCATATTCTGTTATCAAACATCATACAAGAATACACCTTTCAACACAACCTAGCACCAAATGCAGATGTTCCATTTGATGCATATCATGCTTTGGATGGTTTGGAAATGTTTTTAATATTTCTCCCAATAGATATACTGATTCTGTAAACAGCAATTGAGGCCTTAATAATACAAATTGTCCTGGTGATTTAATGTTTGGTGTTGTCAGACACCATTTTTTTTTGTTAGAACAAGCTTAGCTCACTTAATTGTGTACCTGAAATTTCACTCATAATCTCATCTGGTAGCTGCAACACTCTGTATCTCAGTTTGCTGGTTTCAATAGTTTCTACCTCCAGACATTCACGTGCACTCCTTCTAGACGTCTCCTATTGAACAGAACATTTAAACAAATAATGTTACAAAAAACTAAAACCCTTCCTGACAGCAGTTTCAGTTTAATAGCATGGTGTACATGCGAAGAACAGGAAGAAAATAGGTGAGACACAGCTTGACTGAAGGTGACTGGTAATACGAGATCTGCACTCTCTCTGGCAGGTGGAGCAGATGTTGTTCGGGAGATATCTGGTTCTGCACTGCTCAATCATGTCATGGAGAACTCTCTCTGGCACTCTCACTTTGCCTACATGTTCTGACATCTTTGGGTCTCAAAGCGCTGGGCTCCTTCCCAGCCTTTCTTTCACCATCTGGTTCAGTCGAGGGCTATAATCCCCTCGGAGTGGATATTCACCATTCGCTTCCGTCATGCTTGCTTCTGCCATAACTGTGAAACACTTTTTCTAGCCTCCTCTGGTATGATTTCCTCAGCTAAGCTGGGATAAGAGTATCTTTTTTTTTTTTTTTAGACTGAAGTCTGATATTCAGACAACTTGACCAACCCAATGGAGCTGAAGGCAGATACATTAAGACCCTGAAAATATGCAGATCAATATCTGAGGCCAGATTTTAAACTGCATAATTGAAACTGGATGTTTTACAGTGATTTTATTTCTTATTTACTGATCACCCGTCTCACATATATGTAATAATAAAGCCATGAATGTATACATCGCTCCCGTCTTAATCACAGATACACAATGATTCCATGACACATAACAATAAATCAAACTGAAATATCACATTACAGAAGGAATCAATCATATTCCAGCACCTTCCCTAAATAGGAAGGAGTTAATTCTGTAGCCAAGACCAAGACGTGGTTAAAAATGGACACTTAAATTTTTAGACTATGCACCTACCGTGATTTAACTTTAAAAAACTGCTGTTAAAAATAGGCTAATTACCATTTGTAGTTCCTGACTGTAACTTACCAATTCAGTAACTGCCCCCGCAATTTCCCTAAGGTGATGACATGCCTCCTGGTGAAAACATAACCCTTCATTTTTAAGATGTTTCTCTGAAAATACACAGCAATTATATACAATTATTTTCGTGGCTTTGCAGTAAAAAACAAAACAAAACAAAACAAAACACAGAATTTAACACAGACATCTCCGTGGGTCAATGAAGTAAACTCGATGCCTGCGTGGAACATTTCTTGATCTTCTTACGAAACAAATGAAATTATAGGACCGGGGTATCGACTATCAGACGTTTTCGATTTAATTATTCAACCAAGGGTTACTGCGATGACAGGTCGTTTAAGAATACAAGACTGTTTTTAAAACAACAAACAAAAAAAAACTAGACAGAAAGTACTGAAACTCACCGATTTCGCCTAAATGTTCCAAAGCAACGAGAACAGCTGGAAATTCCGGCACCAAACAAGAACTCATTAGGAGTATTTTTAAATCTTTGAAAAGTGCCGATGCGTGATATTAAAAGTTTAAACACTACAACCGCGCCGCTCCTAAGGCCTGTGCAGGGGAAAGTGTCGTGGTCGTCATGGCAACCGCGCACAGCGGAGCTCCCGAGCAGCTGGCTGCGGTAACAAAAAAAAACAGGCGATCGGAGGAATAAATATCTATGAAAAGTTGTTTAACCGTTACCGGTCGTTGTAGTAAGTGTAAGGAAACACGGCTCTCGGCGGCTTTCCTTGTGCTTTTCAAAAACTCAGGTCAACGTGAAAGGGAAAAGCAAATGTACGCTCTTCTAACATTAGTAAAACGTTGTACTACAAATTCAAATAATAATAATAAAAATAATAAAAATAAAGTAGAGAGGATGCTGCACCAAGGGTGTATATGACAGTCTTCCGTCTTAAGACACTTCTACATGCGATCCCCGATCGCATTGCTTCACAACCCCCATAACCTTACTTTCTTCAGGTCCGCTGGCAGTCCAGGTGTGTGGAATTAGGGATATAAAACACACTCACAACCACAACCAAGCACCATTGAGCTGGGACAGCAGGAGTCAGGGAATTACTTCTTAAATAAAGGTTTATTCGTTTCGTTTCAGTGAAATATCAGTGTGCTTATTTAGGTAACTAATACATAGTCCCTGTTGTCTGTTATTCAAGAACCATGAAACATATTGCTGTCTGTAATTTCTATCTGTTCGGTGTTTCAAATGACAAAACATACAAGAAGAACCCACCCTTTGTTAAACCATCGTGCCTGACAAAGGGATATTAACTTATAAAGCGATTCGACACTGAGTTTGAAACGATTGTAAATCGACTGCCTGCATTACAAATGTTGCTGTCTAACTCGATTTATTTCAGTAGGTGTCACCAGTTCCTAGCGTCCTGTTTGAGTCAACAGATTTAATTTACCTACATATTCACACTGGTGGTGCACTCCTATATTGACAGACATACATGGCTCCTCTACTGTATTTTTAAAAATTAATCTTTAAGACCGCAACAGGTAATCTCCCTGTACTATAACTGTTCTTTTTCTATACGGTGTAATTTTTTTTTAAAAAAGTTCATTTGTCGAGCATGATTCATATTTAGACACGATAAATATGAACTTTTTTACATTAACTGCAGAAAGTGAAGTTGTTTTATGTGGGTAAACAAATTGACTTACTGTATCTGCTTTGCGGGCAGGGGTTAAAGAATATAGCAAGCGTATCTTATAGACGGCCAATATGATTACGCGAGTTACCTTTAAAATAAATAAAATGTCTTAATTTTATGCTTAAGTGTGTCTTCCTCTTCAGGAATGATCCGCGTTTTATCGTTCTAATTAGCTGATTAATGTTAATGAGTGCAGCAGTTTATTAAGCACTACTTTATACCAGCGTCGCCCACCAGGTGGCGCCAAAGGGTCAGTAATGTATTTACAGATCACAGGCAGTAGAGTGGTTCTTTCATTTATTATGTATTGCCAAAGGTATTAAAGTGAACTGAATAAAAGACCCGGTATATTCAAGGTCATTAAAACTCAATAAACCATGCAAGGCATTTTTAAAGCTGCATTATAAAGGCTTCTATTAAATATCCGGGAATTCGCCTTTGGATCCAACGAAGACATGTCTACTTTTCCTGTCTCTCCCGTCTCCTCCGGTCTGCACATTCGTGCGGCGCTGAGAGACCGGTGAACTCTGCCCTTTAGACGGGTCTCAAACAAACAGATAAAACCTGCTCTCCCACAATGGTTCATTCTGAACGAATTAAATGGAATCTTTCTGCTTTTGGTCATTCAAAACCAAATAATTAAAGTATATTCTATAAACAGAAATATCTGAGACAACGTAAACCGATTCTCCTCAAAATGAATAAATAGTTCGTCACGTACTGTAGCTGGCGTAATAATAACCGACTTACTGACTGACTGATCAGTCAGTAAGAAAAATAAGACAGTAATACGATCACACAGTAAGATACAATATGAATGGCATGACCACAATTTAAACATTTTTGAGGAAGTGATTGACACAGATTTAAATGAGCTCAGGCACCGTGTGGATGGAGTCAATATACATCTATGCAGCAGAGGGCAGTGTTGAGTCGTCCAAAACCAGTCGGAAAAATTCTCAGACGGGAGTTGCGTCGCAGTTGAAAAGTAATTAGACAAACCTGGAGCCCACAGAGTTTTAATATCGATTTTGCTTTTTTTCTCTCTCCTATCACTACAGCACCCAGGAAATATAATGCACACAGTTTTCCCGTTCGTTTGTTTCTGGATCTCCCTGTGTCCATAGTAGATGTTGGTTACTTGATTGTCATTACTTGCAGCAATTTAAGGTCACGAGTTCGTAACCTGCTGAGACTGGGACAGGATCCATACTGTAAACCTCGAAATGTGCTTGATCTTGTTTTAGTTGTTATTGTTTAAAAAACTACCTGTGTAGCAAATATTGTTTTTTTTTTTACTGGAGAGGGTTGCTTTTTTGTCAGTCTTGAGGAAATGAAAGATTAATCAAGATGCTATCTACATGTATACAATCTGCATAAGCTATGCAGAAACAAACAATATGATGATGCCTAAGGATGCCTAAGGTACAAACATATATTTTTTCTTTCTAAATATCCCTAAGAAGCATAACTGTCATGTTAATTGGGAAATTAACCATCTTTTTAAGGATGTTTGTACACACAATAAATATATTTAGCAACTAACATTTTATACACCACTTCTCAACTAGTAATGACATGAGCTGGACTAACACAGAGAGCTAACGTCAGCAGCAGGGGCTCATGATGCACTGTGCTTATAAGGAGGGAGGACAAATATAGTTTAGTAATTGGGGTAAAACCCTAATTGCATAGAAAAATAAGTAAAAGGGATAGAAAAGAAATTGGAAACAAACGCCCAAGATAGCCCCAAGGCTCCTAGATAGTGTTTCATTGCAAAGGGTGTGTGCGATATTGTGTTCTTTGGTCCTACCCTGAGGGGTATTTCAGAGGAGAAATGTTGCTGATATTTTCTGAGAATCACCGAAGCCTTGATACTGTATGTTTGCTGAAATGTGTTGAACTGTGAATCAAAGTGTCAGTTTATTTAATAGTTTCATTTTTTTCCCTCCACGCCAGCACAAGAACCCTTCAACAAGTTGTCAGATTTTCAGTGGAGAGATATTGTGTACTAAACCACAGCCAACTAGAACCATTCACTCTTATATCAGAGTTTTGACATGTCCTGGGTATGGCTGTTCTTGGTCTTTTCCCTTGTGTTGCGTTTAGAATCAGGTGGTGTCTTATCCCTTCTTTACATAAGTGTGCATATGCTAGCATGTCTGCACATTCCCCCACGTGCATTTACACACGCCTGCACTCACACACGTCTGCATCTACACACGCCTGAACTCACACACACGTCTGCACCTACACACGCCTGCATCTATACACATCTGCACCTACACACGCCTGCGCTCACACATGCCTGCACTCACACATACGGTACGTGCAGTTACACATGCCTGCACTTACAGCATTTCACACCTCATCTGCCACCGATATACGCTGCTGTCTCCTCAGCAGTTGTGAAAGTGACTGTTTGCAGTACGATTGCACAGAATGAATGAGGTAGATAGACACATACAGTAGGTACCTAGCAGCTGTAGGGGACAGGTAACCTTTCAGCACTTACTGTATAAAGAAGTTATCCGTTGCTCAGGGGCAAGGGCCAGTGCATAGGAGCTGACTCCTGTTAGACTACCATTCTGAGGTCAAGAAGGTTTCATACTGTACTCTGGTGTGAGAAATAGCCAAAGTCAGAAAGATAAACAGGTTCTTACTGGTCAAAATTATTATTAATAATACATTTTATCAATAGACTCCTACGGCAAAGAAAGCTTATTACTTTAAAAGAGAATATACTGCATGTTTATTGATAATGCAAAGAATAGATTAATGTCCACTATATTTATTCTGTGGTTTATCTTCCCTACAGTGTGTGTATAGACATAAAGTATGACTTAAAACTGTTCACCCAATCCATTACTCTGTATAACCCAGTAGTGTTGATGATGGTTAAGATGCTTTGCTAACATGATTATCTACATTGATTTTTCTGATAGATGTCATTTGCTTCACTTTTGCTCTTATCATTTTTGGTGTCATTCCAGTATTCTGATGGACTCTCAGCCTGATTTATGTGATTATCTTATTTAACCTACTTTCCTATATCTCTGAGCAGAGCTGTTGACTCATTTGTACTCAGACACAATTTCTTTGCATAGTCATTACTGCGTATTTCCTGATTGAGTGCTGGGTCTTATGGATGAATTTAATAGCACAAGGCGAAGCAAAGCTGTAGATCATTGTAATACACAGCTTTGCTTCAACTTGCGCAGCCAAAGAATGCTGAGCTGTTTTTTGGAATCCTTTCTGCTTGTGATGAAAGGATATAAATTATGATGTTGAAACTTCTCTCCCTTTCTGTTCAGTTATAAGAGAGGGGCAAGCTTTGGGTATCATCCATTTTACTCCTCTAACGATGGAGGAGAGCATTGTAACTTCAACATGATTTTGAAGCAAATTTGTTTGTGATTGATTAGAACCAGATGGGGGCCATTGTGTCCTTCCGGTTGAGGGTTGTAAGGCTCTGCTGAGAAGGTATTTACATTTTGAAGTGCAGATAACATTCGCACAAAATGTGACCACTGAACTGTCACGAACAGTTCTTTC